AAAAACCAACATAGTTCACTTACCCCAAACAAAATCCAACAAATTCTAAATTTTCTAAATCCAAAACAAATTCCAATCCGTTAAAAGTCTCTGATGCTGAATTCGTACGGGTAGGGCCACCTACAGTTGCTTGCAATTGTGCTTGGCTAGTCTGGTGATTACTAACTAGCATTCCTTATCTATGCATTTTTTCATTCTCTTGAAAGTACAAAATAGACGAAAAGCGATTCAATCGCTTTAGATTCCAATCGTTTAGATTTCAACATTCGAACGAGCAGGACACAATAATAGTAACCATGATTTCTCCTGAAGAGATTTAAGGCAGTCTGTTTGGGCAGTGCGCGCTTTGCATGCCTTGCTCTTGATTACTACTACTTGTGGCAAATGTCAGATAAGTAATCACAACATCCCCGGCTTTCCTAACCTTTAGAAAAATTTTCATTTGTCGAGAAGGGCAGATGAATATTAACCTACTAACACGCCGGCTTCCTTTTTGCTCATATATATGCATATATACATTGCGTCATTTATAACGGAACTGAAAAAAATACAACTAACTGCCTGTCTTACCAAAGCAGTTATTTTGTAAAAACGAGAGATCGCCAGGCTCAGAAAGCAACATCAAGCATTCCTTATTTACTCAGTCCATCTTAAAGCTTGGCGATTGCTGGTAGCTCGTGATGAAATTGCACTTAATGAAGTTCTGCGCACGGAGTCTTCTTACGCACTCTTCCGTCCGCATTTGGGGCTTTTATATTCACTCTCCCAAAACCGTCAAGCTTTTGGTTTCAGCCGGAGTGAAGTTCTACCTACGAACTACCTACCTACGAACTACTAATTTGGTACTTAATGCATTTTCGCGTCGTCAATACGTAGATCGGAGTCAAGCCAGAACGCTCCCGTTTCTGTCCTGCAATCAGGACCGTTTGGCGAACGCTACTTGCATGTGGTTAATGAGCCTCCTAATCACGTTTTGCTGTCTGGATAGCCAATTTCATTTACTTAAGTAATTAATTTAGGACTGCCCAACCAAACTGAAAATGCACAGCCCCAGAGCTGAATATGGATTATCTGACAGAAAATTAGGCGAACTTCAAGGCATACTTGACCGGCAATGGCATTTAATGTAGATGTACTGTCTCATAAAATTTTAACCAAGATTCTGGAATGTGCTTTCGTTTTGAAAACGCCCCATTTAAATAGGGGTTTAGTATTATTGTGCAGCCTAATTCCAAGATATTTTAGTCACATCAGGATGCCGGCTTCTTTCCAGTTGCCTGCAAAAACTTTGAAAAATGATCGCTTATGTTGAATGCATTTATCTCGCTGATTTCCGATGCTCTTATTTTCATTACTTTATAGAAAACCTGCACAAAAATATTCCTTTTTTGTCCTCATTTGGTAGAAAATCACTGTCTTAAAAATCTCATAATTGGAAGCCTTTTTGAAATCGAAAGATACAGTTTCTTCAAGTATAACATTTAAATAGAATGAGTTCATGCATAAGTGCTTTCAGTGCTCTAAAGTATTTCGAACTTTGTGTTGTAAACAGTGTGCTACTGTGGTCGCTTGGATGAGCTCACTATTTGTGGAGGTGAGAAGGCGAGACGCTACCACTTGGAGGGTGTAGATCCACTGGAGGACGAACTTGATGCCTGCGATCTTGAGTGCTTGTCAGAGGCAGATGCTGCTGTCGCTCGTCGGTACAATGTCCTCGACAGAGCTCTATTTGTCGGAACCGTCTTCTCCTGTGAACAGCCCTGTGGACGGATGCTGAATTGTAGGCATCACAAGTGTCAGGCGCTTTGCCATCCCGGAGATTGCCAACCGTGCCAGCTTCTTCCGGAATTTTGTCTCACCTGTCCCTGCGGACGTGTACCTTTAAGCAAATTGGTAAGAAAAAGTTACTGTCCACGTAAACTTTGCGGTTTTCCTCTTCCGCTTCCTCTTCCCTTTCTTTCTCTTCTTCTTCTTCTTCTTCTTCTTCTTCTTCTTTCTGTTCCTTTTCCTCCCCCACCTTCATTCCGAACCGTTGCTGGCGTCACATAATGCCCGACCGCTGTGACCGTAATAATTACACTTCATCGCAATCGTTGCCATGACAAGGGCCACGTTTTGAGCAGAAATGGGGATAATTAGTCGCTAGGTGACAATGACAGTATTCTGGCCAAACGATTACTCAATGTACTAAATCCTGGGGCATTTGAGCCAAAATCCTTGCTTGTTCAGAATGCTGCCTGGAGTCAGGACTGAGCTGCGCCACAATTTAGTCATAGGTTCTGCTCGTTTCTCCCTAATTTGCTAATTTCACCATTTTTCTCTGTCTACGTTACATTATCCGTCATGGTAGACATGCCATGCGATAATTAATACCATGGGAAAAACCGAAATAATTGAACTTCATAGTCGCATGCAATTCCCTCGTGGTAAACGGTAAAGGTTTTGTGCATGGACTAGAGGCTTGTCTAATGTCATCCTATTTGCTCTTTTTGTTACAATCAAACAGTTTTCCCCCAAAATAGCCTCTACGAATTGGTTTTGTCGTGCGGCCACCAGTTTCTGACGAGTTAGTTCTTGCGCATTAACACATATGGGTAACGTGGGACATTTTGTAGATGCACTGAATTTCTTTTGATTTGATACGATTAGCTCCTGCCATATATAGTGGCGGCCAATTGGCGGCGATCAGAAGCGAGCTCCTCGCAGACACTAACCCAGTGTTTATTCCAGTATCGCAAGCCGTAAACGGTCGCGAGGCCCATGCGTTCGACGTCCGACTTGACAGTGTTGAGCCACGTCTTCCGTTGACCGGCATGTCGGTAGATGCAGTTTGCACTACGCGAGGGATTCACGGCCAACCTACAAAGGC